CTTTTTTTTCCTTTATTTTTAATTTTTATTTTTGTACTTTTAGTAGAGACGGGGTTTCGCCATGTTGGCCAGACTGGTCTCGAGTTCCTGACCTCAGGTGATCCGCCTGCCTCACCCTCTCAAAGTGCTGAGATTATAGGCACGAGCCACCACACTCAGCTAATACTTCCTATTACTATATGCATCTATAACTTACATGTGACTTCAGATAGATGTTCCACGACATGCACAGAACTATTTGCTCAAGCATTGTTTGTAATTTGAACTCGAATAACAGAAAGTATGTGTCACAAGTTAACCAGAGGACCTATAATTTCACTCTTTGGTATTTAAGAGAAATGAAACCTGTCTCCAAAAAAAAAGTGCCTATACAGCTAATACTAGAAACAGCCCAAGAGACTGGATAAACAAATGGTGGTTACATTCATTTGTTTATCAGCAGTCTAAATTTTCTGCAGTGGAATATGCCCAGCAACATAAAGGAACAAACCACCATGCAGCAACGTGGATGAACCTCAGTGATGTGCTGAGTGAAGGGACACATGTAAGTGTATGACACTTACATGAGGCTCTAGAATAGGAAAAAACTAATCTCTGGTGATAAAAATCAAAACGATAGTTGCTTGGAAGGGGACTGACCAGGAAGGGGCAGCGGGGAGCTTTCTGCCCGGAACTACATTCTTTTTTGTCTTGACAGAGGTGTGGGTTATACAGGTGTACACAATTGCCAAAACTGACTGAATTCTACACTTAAGATCTGTATATTCCCTATGTGTAGATGATAATTTAAGTTTTTAAATGATGAAGAAAAAAAGGTGACCAGGGAGAATTACTGAAGACCATTTACCATATAAAGAAGGTGAAGGTTTTTCTAACATTGTTTTTTAAATGCTCATATTTAGAGAAGCTGCTCGAGAATGTCGCAGAAAGAAGAAAGAATATGTGAAATGCCTGGAAAACCGAGTTGCAGTCCTGGAAAATCAAAATAAAACTCTAATAGAAGAGTTAAAAACTTTGAAGGATCTTTATTCCAATAAAAGTGTTTGATTCTTAAGAAAGAAAATATTTTTGTGGACTTCCATAAAAATTAAATGGATTTCTTAGTGGAGTTTTATAAATTAAAGGTCAAAAGTGAAGTTTTTTATTTAGGCTTTTCCAACTCAAGGATAACTATCTTATGCACGATATCTAGTAGCAGAGGAGAAAGTGGAAAATGACTTCAAGGAAGCTATGGGCACAACTGGAAGCTTTGTAGAAATTAAACATATTCAAGAAGCAAGAAATGAACTTTCAGCAGTCTAAATTTTCTAAATAACCAATAGTTGCCAATCCAAAATGGCAGAGAAGATGAAATTTGATAAACTAAATTTTTAAAAATAAATTAATTTACCCTACGGGTTTGCATTTCTGTTTGCTGAAATTTACCTTTTTTAGTTATATATGTGTGTGTGTGGGTGCACACGCGTGCGTGCATGCATGTGTATTTTATTTCTGCCAATACTAATTTACAAAAGTAAGAGAAAACATAGTACATTACTAAATATATAAATTATGTGTTCTGATTATGTATACTTGTTCTCATGTCAAGTCTTTTAAGTGGGTTTTTTGAAGACTGTTTATTGGACTTGAATGGATTTTTGAGACTGGGTTAATTATTTTTGAGGTTTTATCCTAAAAGGCATCTAAGGTACATGAATGGAGTGTGGTAATTTTATAACATTTTTTATCAGAATGGAAAGAGAACTGTTTAAAAGTTTGATACTTTTAAATAATTGGTATTTTTGCTCACTCTGGTAATGGTGATTTTCTACAAATATATAATAAATTGTTTTTTTTTGATTCTATATTCTGTATGCAGTTGAATAGCCATTACTTATTCTGCTGTGCTTTAATAGAATGGAATGTTTACAGGCCCTTAAAATATTATTTTTTAAAAACCTTCTGAAGATGCATACCAAAGTTTTTCCAAGACAATTTTATAATCAATTTAATGTAGGGTTTATCAGATTCTATAATAATATGGTTATTAGGGCAGTTTTATGTTAAAGACTACTTTGTAATGTAGTGAATGGTACCTTTATAAGAAAAGTGACTGCCAATATATTTTTATAGCTAATCTTTATAAATTCTAATGTTGAGTTTTTAATGATTATTTTAAATGTTTATATAGTTTAGTAAAATTTGCACCTCAAAAGTATCATTTTTATATTATGGGAAGTAAAGTTTTCAGATTAGCTAATATTTGCATTGTAAATTTTGTATGCATTTTATCTAAAATTCAAAAATACTGTTGGTACACTAGTGTTTAACATCTGTATTCCAATTTGTATACAGTTTGAAGTTGTACTGCAAAACTATTGTGTGCTTCTTACACAGTATGTATCATATTGTCATCTGTGAAATTAAAGGACATTTGATAGTCTGCTGAATGTAAAATATAATGCTTGGTATATGAATGATAATCTTGTGCTGGTGGCCATGCTGTTAATTATCCTAATGCTATGTAGAAATCTTCACTTAACTGATAAATTTGTGTTTGCCCCTCCTGATGAAATTTCTCATTAAAGGGGTCTTTTAAAATGGGACTCTGTTGACTTGGCAGCACTTTATGAAAAGAAAAAAAAAGTTTGATCACCAGGGGGATTACTTTATCACTTACTGCCTTGTGTAAAGCCAGAATCTCAAACTGGTGGCCCATTAGACCTAAGAATATGAGGAGATGTGAGGTCACTGGGTTGTCAAGAGTGTTTCAACAGTAAATATATTATTGGGTAAACACCATGCTTGACTGCAACAGAGGTAGCCTAGCTCTTAGTGCCGTAACAGCAGGACATCTGCAAATACTTGTAAACTCCTCTGCCTTCAGACTTCTGGGGTGTTGCTCACTAGACCCAGTTACTTACTCTAGCTGTATGAAACAGGCCAGGGCAAATCATTAATGGTTGCATAAATGCATAACAAATTATTTTCCTGGATGTTTTTCTAATTGGAATCCACTGTGGGGATTATCACATTTTAAGATGACTATAGTCCAGACATGAAATTAGACTTCAAAAATGCAAAAGATCAATCAAATTATTTCCTTAGTTCAACTTACTATTTTACGTAAGTTGATTTACTCATTTATATGTTAATTGATGGAAATAGATTATTGTCCACAAACACATCTAGGACATATATTTCTTTTTCTTTTTCTTTTTTTTTTTTTTAGTGAAAGAGAAAGGGGGAGAGAGAACAGAAGTCTTGCTCTATTGCCCAGGCTGAAATGCAATCTAAAAATAGGTATTAAAAACCTCTTTTATGCCGATAATTGTACTTAACAGCAGAGACAGGAAGGAATAAGGGAAGAAAATAACAGCCAACCAATATTTCATTTAAATCTGTGAAATGCTATGCAAATGCTGAAGACTGATTTACTTCCATTTATTTGGTCACTTTCAAAATAGGTGTAGTGTGATACTGAAAAAAAATGTATGTTCTGTGGACCTGGGGTGAAGAATTCTATAAATATTCACTGAGTTTACTTGTTCCAGGTCTGAGTTCAAATCATAACTGTCCCTGTTAATTTTCTATCTCGTTGATCCGTCAAATATTAAAAATGTGGTGTCAAAGTCTCCCGCTATTATTGTGCGGGAGTCCAAGTCTCTTTATAAGTCATTAAGAACTTGTCTTATGTATCTGGGCGCTCCTATATTGGGTGCATATATATTTATGATCATTGACTCCTGTTGTTACATTGATCCTTTTACCATTATGTAATGTCCTTTGTTTTTTTTTTAGTCTTTGTTGCTATTAAAGTCTATTTGGTCAGAGACGAAAGTTACAACTCCTGTTTTTTGTTTTTTTTCACTCTCCATTTGATTTGTGAGTCTTTTCCAACCTTTTGTTTTGAGTCTTTGTGTGTCCTTGCTTATGAGATGGATCTGGATACAGCGTGCTGATAGGTTTTGACTTTTTATTCAATTTGCGTGTCTGTGTCTTTGGGCGTTTAATCCATTTAAATTTAGGATTAATATTGATATTTGTGAGTTTAATATTGTCATTTAATGCTAGTTGGCTATTTTGCCCATTAGTTGATATAGATTCTTCATTATGAAGATACTCTTTACCTTTTAGTAAGTTTTTGGGATGACTGATAACTGGTTGTTCCTTTCTATGTGTAGTGCTTCTTTCAGAAGCTCTTGTAAAGCAGGCCTGGTGGTGATGAAATCTCTTGAGTGCTTGCTTGTTCGTGAAAAATTATTTTTCCTTCATTTATGAAGCTTAGTTTGGCTGGATATGAGATTCTGGGTTGAAAATTCTTTTCTTTGAGGATATCGAATATTGATCCCCACTCTCTTCTAGTTTGTAGGGTTTCTGCTGAGAGATCTGCTGTGAGTCTGATAGGCTTCCCTTTATGGGTAACCTGACCTTTCTCTTTAGCTGCCCTTAGAATTTTCTCCTTTATTTCAACCCTGGTGAATCTAACGATTATGTGTCTTGGGGTTGCTCTTCTTGAGGAATACCTTTGTGGTGTTCTCTGTATTACCTGGAGTTGAGTATTGTCCTGCCTTACTAGGTTAGGAAAGTTTTCCTGAAGAATATTTTCCAGCTTGGATTCATTCCCTTCATGACATTCAGGTACACCTATCAAACGTAAATTAGGTCTTTTCACATAGTCCCATATTTCTTGGAGACTTCGCTCATTCCTTTTTACTTTTTCTTCTCTAATCTTGTCTTCTCGTTTCATTTCACTAAGTTGGTCTTTGACCTCTGCTTGATCAATTCGAATGTTAAACCCTGTGCACACTTCGCAGAGTTCTCATATTGTATTCTTCAGTTCCATTAATTCGCTTATATTCCTCTCTCAATTGTCTATTCTTGTTAGGATTTCGTCAAACCTTTTTTCAAGGTTCTTAGTTTATTTACATTGGGCTAGAACATGTTCTTTTAACTCACAGAAGTTTCTTATTATCCACCTTCTGAAGCCTAAATCTGTTAATGGAACGCACTCATTCTCTATCAGGCCTCGTTCCCTTGTTGATGAGGAACTGTGATCCCCTGTAGAGGGAGAGGCATTCTGATTTTGAATATTCTCAGCCTTTTTACGCTGGTTTCTTCCCGTCATTGTAAATGTATCCACCTGTCATCTTTGTAATTACCGACTTTCAATATAGGTCTCTGAGTGGACGTCCAACTTGTTGATTCCCAGCGCCGAAATCTCAGCAACCCACTGCACCGGCCAAAACAGCAACGTTAAGATTCTTGGTGCTTTTCTGACAGGGAATCTCCAGTCTGGCTTCACTCTTGAGTCCCTTTTTCAGTCAGCTGAATGGACGACTCTGCCTTCCCAAAGCTCCAACCGTCGACCAAAAGGGGACCCAGTCTCACTTTACTCTGCATTGAGAACCCCTGCGCCGGGGCGCTGGCAAAACCGCTGCGCCGGCCACAAGAGTCGCGCTGGCGACCCATGGGGCGCCTCCACTGGGAATCTCCTGGTCCATGCGCAACAAAAACTCGTCTGAAAGTGTGGCATCCTTTCATTCTCTGTGCTTTCACTGGGAGCTACAAACCTGAGCTGCTGGTAATCAGCCATCTTTGATCTCTCAAGATATTTCTTTAATATTTAACAGCAGGAAGAATGGGCATTTTTTAGCTCTTTGGAATTCTTACTATATTTGTTTAATCATTCAGCAATTATTATTTTTTGAGATGGAGTCCCACTCTGTCACCCAGGCTGGAGTGCAATGGTGCAATCTCGGCTCACTGCAACCTCCCGAGCTCAAACGATTCTCCTGCCTCAGCCTCCCATGTAGCTGGGATTACAGGCATGCACCACCATGACCAGCTAATTTTTGTATTTTTAGTAGACATGCAGTTTTACCACGTTAGCTAGGCTGGTCTTAAACTCCTGACCTTGTGATTCACCCACCTCGTCCTCCCAAAGTGCGGGGATACAGACGTGAGGCACTGTGCCCACCCACCCCCCTTTTTTTTTGAGATGGGAGTTTCACTTTTGTTGCCCAGGCTGGAAGTGTAGTGGTGCAATCTCAGCTCACTGCAACCTCCACCTCCCAGGGTCAAGCAATTCTCCTGCCTAAGCTTCCCTAGTAGCTGGGATTACAAGTGCTTGCCACCACGCCCGCCTAATTTTTTGTATTTTTATTAGAGATGGGGTTTTACTATGTTGGCCAGGCTAGTCTCGAACTCCTGACCTCAGGTGATCCACTCACCTCAGCCTCCCAAAGTGCTGGGATTACAGGCAGGAGCCACGGCGCCCGGCTTCATTCAGCAATTATTATATTGCAATTACTAGGTTAAATCTGCATTCTTCTCCAGTTAAAATATGGGGACACAGGAGGGATATAAAAATGTGTATTAGGCCAGGCAGGTGGCTCATACCTGTAGTCCCAGCACTTTGGAAGGCTGAGGCATTGGGATTGCTTGTGGCCAGAAGTTCAAGACCAGCCTAGGCACCATGGTGAAACCCTGCCTCTACAAAAAATGCAAAAATTAGCTGGGCAATGTGGCATGAACCTGTAGTCCCAGCTACTCAGGAAGCTGAGATAGGAGGATAGCTTAAGCCCAGGAAGTCAAGGCTGCCATGAACTGTGACTGCACAACTGCACACCAGCCTAGGTGACAGCAGGACCATGTCTCAAAAACAAAAAACAACAACAACAAACGTGTATTATGGCTTGGAATTGTATAATCAGTTGTCATGATGGCAGTTCAGATTCCCTGAAAAGATGCTATAAAATTGATAAAGAGTGAGTGAAATTTGACTAGGGGCTTGACAGCTAATTTAAAGGAAAAATCACAAGTTATAGTAAAACAAAAAAATGTCATAGCTTTACAAAGTACACCAGAACCTAATCATAATGATCATTACATGATATACTCTGTTGTACAAAGTAGGGTGTTTTGTTGTTGTTTTGAGACAGAGTCTTGCTCTGTTGCCCAGGCTGGTGTGCAGTGGCACAATCTTGGGTCATTGCAACCTCTGCTTCCTGGGTTCAAGCAATTCTGCCTCAGCCTCCCAAGTAGTTGGGATTACAGGCATGCGTCACCATGCCCAGCTAATTGTTGTATTTTTAGTAGAGACAGGGTTTCACCATATTGGCCAGGTTGATCTCAAACTCCTGACCTCAAGTGGTCTGCCTACCTCAGCATCCCAAAGTGCTGGGATTACAGGTATGAGCCACCTCAACTGGCCTGTTTTTAATAAATACTCTTTGTTTTACGGTAAAAGTGAAGGAACACATACCTCAAGGTAGTAGAATTCAGAAGGCTATTCTAGGGAGAATTTGGCAGGAATTTTTGAGGGACATTCATTTGAAGGAGATTTAAGGCTATTTAATGCCCCTCCTCCCACTTTTTTTTTCTTTGGAGACAGTGTCTCTGTTGCCCAGACTGGAATGCAGTGGCATAATCTCGGCTCACTACAACCTCTACCTCCCAGGCCTAAGTGATTCCTGAGTAGCTGGGGTTACAGGTGTGCACCACTGAACCCAGCTAATTTTTGTAGTTTTTAGTAGAGATGAAGTTTCTCCATGTTGGCCAAGCTAGTCTCAAACTCCTGGCCTCAAATGATCCAGCCACCCCC